AGTCTCTCAGACTACAGTGCAATCAAATTAGAATTGAGAATTAAGAAATTCAATCAAAACTGCACAACTACATGGAAACTGAACACCCTGCTCTTGAATGACTACTGGATAAATAATGAAACAAAGGCAGAAATAAAGATGTCCTTTGAAACCAATGAGAAAGAAGATACATTGTACCAGAAACTCTGGGACACATTTAAAGCAGTGTGTAGAGGGAAATTCATAGCATTAAATGCCCACAAGATAAAGAAGAAAAGATTCACAATTAAAAGAACTAGAAGAGCAAGAGCAAATTCAAAAGCTAGCAGAAGACAAGAAATAACTAAGATCAGAGCAGAAGTGAAGGAGATAGAGATACAAAAAACCCTTCAAAAATAATCAATGAATCCAGGAGCTGGTTTTTTGAAAAGATCAACAAAATTGAAAGACTGCTAGCCAGGCTAATAAAGAAGAAAAGAGAGAAGAATCAAATAGATGCAGTAAAAAATGATAAAGGGGATATCATTACCTATCCCACAGAAATACACACTACCATCAGAGAATACTAGAAACACCTTTATGGAAATAAACCAGAAAATCCAACAGAAATGGATAAATTCCTGGACACTTACACCCTCCCAAGACTAACCCAGGAAGAAGTCGAATCCCTAAATAGACCAATAACAAGTTCTGAAATTGAGGCAGCAATTAATAGCCTACCAACCAAAGAAAGTTCAGAACCACACAGGTTCACAGCTGAATTCTACCAGAGGTACAAAGAGGAGCTGGTACCATTCCTTCTGAAACTATTCCAAACAATACAAAAAGAGGGAATCCTCCCTAACTCATTTTATGAGACCAACATCATCCTGATACCAAAACCTGGTAGAGATACAACTAAAAAAGAAAATTTTAGGCAAATATCCCTAATGAATATCAATGTGAAAATCCTCAATAAAATTCTGGCAAACCAAATCCAACAGCACATCAAAAAGCTTAGCCATCATGATCAAGTCAGCTTCATCCCTGGGATGCAAGGCTGGTTCAACATATGCAAATCTATAAACATAATCCATTACATAAACAGAATCAAAAACAAAACCCACATGATTATCTCAATAGAAGCAGAGAAGGCCTTCAACAAAATTCAACAGCGCTTTATGCTAAAAACTCTCAATAAATTAGGTATCAATGGAATGTATCTCAAATCAATAAGAACTATTTATGACAAACCCACAGCCAATATCATACTGAATAGACAAAAACTGGAAGCATTCCCTTTGAAAACCAACACAAGACAAAGATGCCCACTCTCACCACTCAAAATCAACATAGTATTGGAAGTTCTGGCCAGGACAATCAGGCAAGGAAAAGAAATAAAGGGTAATGAATTAGGAAAAGAGGAAGTCAAATTGTCTCTATTTCCAGATGACATGATTGTATATTTAGAAGACCTCATCGTCTCAGCCCAAGATCTTCTTCAGCTGACAAGCAACTTCAGCAAAGTCTCAGGATACAAAATCAATGTGCAAAAATCACAAGCATTCCTATAAACAAATAGGGAGCCAAATAGTAAGTTAACTCCCATTCCCAATTGCTACAAAGAGAATAAAATACCTAGAAATACAACTAACAAAGGATGTGAAGAAATGCTTCAAGGAGACACAAACAAATGGAAAAACATTCCATGCTCATGGTTAGGAAAAATCAATATTGTGAAAAAGACCATAATGCCCAAAGTAATTTATAGATTCAATGCTATCCCCATCAAGTTACCACTAACTTTCTTCACAGAATTAGAAAAAGAAATCTTAAATTTCATATGGAACCAAAAAAGAGCCCACAGAGCCAAGATAATTTTAAGCAAAAAGAAAAAAAAAAAAAAAAAAAAAAAAAAAAACAAAGCTGGAAGCATCATGCTACCTGAATTCAAACAATACTACAAGACTACAGAAATCAAAGCAGCATGGTACTGGTACCAAAACAGATATATAGACCAATGGAACAAAACAGAGGCCTCAGAAATAATGCCACACATTTGATCTTTGACAATCCTGACAAAAACAAGCAAAGTGGAAGGGATTCCCTATTTAACAAATGGTGTTGGGGAAACTGGCTAGACATATGCAGAAAACTGAAACTGCATCCCTTCCTTACACCTTAAACAAAAACTAACTCAAGATGGATTAAAAATTTAAATCTAAGACCAGCCGGGTGTGGTGGCTCATGCCTGTAATCCAAGAACTTTGGAGGTCAAGGCGGGTAGATCATCTGAGGTTGGGAGTTCAAGACCAGCCTGACCAACATGATGAAACCCTGTCTTTATAAATTAAAAAAAAAAAAAAAAAGATTTAAATGTAAGACCTAAAACCATAAAAACCCTAGAAGAAAACCTAAGCAATACCATTCAGGACATAGGCATGGGCAAGGACTTCATGACTAAAACATCAAAAGCATTGGCAACAAAAGCCAAAATAGACAAATGGGATCTAATTAAACAAAAGAGCTTCTGCACAGCAAAAGAAACTATCATTAGAGTGAACAGGCAACTTACAGTATAGGAGAAAATGTTGCAATCTACACATCTGACAAAGGGCTGATATCCAGAATCTACAAAGAACGTAAACAAATTTAAAAGGAAAAAAAAAAACCCACCAAAAAGTGAGCAAAGGATATGAACAGACATTTCTCAAAAGGAGACATTTATGCAGCCAACAAACATATGAAAAAAAGCTTATCATCACTGGTGATTAGAGAAACGCAATTCAAAACCACATTGAGATACCATCTCACATCAGTTAAAATAACAATCATTAAAAAATCAGGAGACACCTGGGCCAGCCGCAGTGGCTCATGCCTATAATCCCAGCACTTTGGGAGGCTGAGGCAGGCAGATCACCTGAGGTTCGGAGTTCAAGACCAGCCTGACCAATATGGTGAAACTCTGTCTCTAAAAAAAAATTAAAAAAAAAATTTTTTTTTAAATATAAAAAATAAAATAAATAAATAAAAATAAAAGAATAAAAAAATGGCACAAAAGTAGTCATAAAAAAAATCAGGAGGGGGGAGGATCCAAGGTGGCCATTTAGTAACAGCTCAGGATTGCAGCTCCCAGTGAAAGCGCAGAAGGTGAGTGGACGCCGCGTTTTTATTGCCCACAGACTAGGAAATTCCCGGGCGGAGGAGCTCCACGGTCGCCAGCGTGGCTGTTTTGGCCAGCGCGGCTGTGCCGGCCAGCGCCACTGCTTTGCCCTGCGCGGCTGCTTTGTCGGCGCCCCGGAACAGCGGTTCCCCGTACAAAATACACCGGTCCGGGTGCCCTTTTGGCTGGCAATTGGAGCCACGGGAAGTTGCCCATTCGCCGGTTCAAAAAGGGGACTGAGCAGAGAACCAGGACAGTAGATTCCAGGGCAAAAAAAAAAAAAAAAAAAAGCGCCACAAGCCTCAGTGCCGCTGTTTAAGCCAGCGCAGTGAGTGGCCGCAGGGGAAAACAAACAGACCCCAGTGCCTCTTCAACAGGCGACTGGAATACAAACTTAAAAAAATGCTCTGAGGCAGGGAGCCGAGCGATCAGGCTTGGCTGGTCCCACCCCCACAAAAGAACAGCAACCAGAAACTCTGGATTGAGACTTTCACAGCAAGCGCAGCTGAACCCGGGATGGTCCAGCTCTGTGGGGGAGGGGCGTCCGCCATTACCGAGGCAGCCCGCCAGGACAGAGGTAGTCGGCCAATGCTGAGGCAGCCCGCCGTTGCCAAGGCAACCCGCCATTGCTGAGGCAGCCCACTGTTGCCAAGGCAACCCGCCACAGCAGAGAGACTCCGCCTCCACAGAGGCGGGCCACCATCGCCAAAGCAGTTCTTACTACACCCATGCAAATAGGACTGCAGGGAAGTTCACTCGGCAGCTGGGCGGAGCCCACAGCAGCTCAGCAAAGCCTCTATAGGCCGACGGTGACTAGGCGGCCTCCTTGCTGGGCCGGGCAGGTCTGAAGGAAAAAAAAAAAAAAGAAGGCGGCAGCATAACTGAAACTCATAAAGCCCTAAATCCCTGGGACAGAGCACCTGGGAACAGCAATCCCATTACTGGGTATATATCCAAAGGATTATAAATTGTTCTACTATAAGGACATGTGCACATGAATGTTCATTGCAGCACTGTTTACAATAGCAAAGACCTGGAACCAATCCAAATGCCCATCGACGATAAACTGGATAGGGAAAATGTGGCACATATACACCATGGAATATTATGCAGCCATCAAAAACGATGAGTTTGGGTCCTTTATAGGGACATGGATGAACCTGGAAACCATCATTCTCAGCAAGCTGACAGAAGAGCAGAAGATCAAACACCACATGTTCTCACTCATAGGCGGGTGTTGAACAATGAGAACACATGGGCACAGGGAGGGGAGCACTACACACTGGGGTCAGTTGGGGGGAAATAGGGGAGGGGTGGGTGGGGGGGGGGGAGTTGGGGAGGGATAGCAAGGGGAGAAATGCCAGATGTAGGTGATGGGGAGGAAGGCAGCAAATCACACTGCCACGTGTGTACCTATGCAACCATTTTGCATGTTATTCACATGTACCCCAAAACCTAAAATGCAATAAAATAAATAAATGCGAAAAAAAAAATCAGGAGACAATACATGCTGGAGAGGATGTGGAGAAATGGAACACTTTTACACTGTTTGTGGTAGTGTAAATTAGTTCAACCATTGTGGAAGACAGTGTAACAATTCCTCAAGGATCTACACCTAGAAATACCATTTGACTCAGCAATCCCATTACTGTACATACCCAAAGGATTATAAATCATTCTATTATAAAGACACATGCACATGTATGTTTATTGTGGCACTGCTCACAATGGAAAGACTTGGTACCAACCCAAATGCCTATCAATGATAGACTGAATAAAGAAAATGTGGCACACATACACCATGTAATACTATGCAGCCATAAAAAAGGATGAGTTCATGTCCTTTGTAGAGACATGGGCCCTATCTTCCAAATGAGTCATGACCATCCTGTACCAGCCCATGCCGGCCAGCTCCCCAGTCATCTGCGCGGGCAGCCAAGATCAGTGCAGCAACGCTGTGGGCTACCCCCACGCCACCCATGACCTGGAGGGACCACCTCTAGATGCCTATTCGATTTAAGGACAACACACCATCTCTCCGTTCGATCTGGCCAAGCTGAACCGGGTGGCAAGACAACAGTCTCACTTTGCCATGATGCACGGCGGGACCGGATTCGCCGGAATTGACTCCAGCTCTCCAGAGGTGAAAGGCTATTGGGCAAGTTTGGATGCATCTACTCAAACCACCCATGAACCCACCATTCCAAATAACTTAATTGGCTGCATAATCGGGCGCCAAGGCACCAACATTAATGAGATTCGCCAGATGTCCAGGGCCCAGATCAAAATTGCCAACCCAGTGGAAGGCTCCTCTGGTAGGCAGGTTACTATCACTGGCTCTGCTGCCAGTATTAGTCTGGCCCAGTATCTAATCAATGCCAGGCTTTCCTCTGAGAAGGGCATGGGGTGCAGCTAGAACAGTGTAGGTTCCCTAGATAACCCCTTTCTGCTGTTTTCCCATGATCCAACTGTGTAATTTCTGGTCAGTGATTCCAGGTTTTAAATAATTTGAAGTGTTCAGTTTCTACACAACTTTATCATCCACTAAGAATTTAAAAATCACATTCTCTGTTCAGCTGTTAATGCTGGGATCCATATTTAGTTTTATAAGCTTTTTCCTGTTTTTAGTTTTGTTTTGGGTTTTTTGGCTCATGAATTTTATTTCTTGTTTGTCGATAAGAAATGTAAGAGTGGAATGTTAATAAATTTCAGTTTAGTTCTGTAATGTCAAGAATTTAAGAATTAAAAAAACGGATTGGTTAAAAAAAAAAAAAAGCTGGAAACCAGCATTCTCAGCAAACTAACACAAGAACAGAAAACCAAACACTTTAGGTTCTCACTCATAATTGGGAGTTGAAAAATGAGGACACATGGACACAGGAAGGGAAACATCACATATCATGCCCTATAGGAGGTGGGGGCTAGGGAAGGGATAGCATTAGGAGAAATACCTAATATAGATGATGGGGTGATGGATGCAGCAAACCACCATGGCATGTCTATAACTATGTAACAAACCTGCACGTTCTGCACATGTACCCCAGAGCTTAAAGTATAATAATAATTTTTTAAAAAAGTAAAGAGATACTATTCACAATCTACTAATTCGCTGATTCCATGAGAAGGAAACATTGTTTTCTGGTAGTATCTCCGATAACAACAGAATGTATCTTCTAGAAAAATATCCATTTCTGAAATTTAAAAAAGCCACCACCACCAATGCCACCATTATCATTATCACTAACACAACCATTAGCACCACCAAGCACTGGCTCAGCAGTTAGAGGATTTTAAATTTTCAGTATGAAAAACTGCTTCTCTTTTTGCCAAATTGTCTCATGCCATATTTCATATATATCTTAATTTTGCTGGATTCGAAACTCCAGATATTATGACATTAATACTTAGTTAATACAGTCAAGTGAGAAATTTTCTATAATAAAATGGTTTTTCTAGAATATTTCCTAGAAAACAGAGAGCTTTGTATTGCTAATGTCATTTCTTTTTTTTTTTTAACAGGGTCCCTTAAGCTGCCAGCTGAACCCAGTTGGACAAGCTGCCTTGTTGTTGTCTCCTTCCTTGCTTTAGGTATTTTCCATCATTTTGCTGCAAAATTCCAATGCTCTTTCTTAGATGATCTACATGCTATTTTAGTACTTCTTTGTCTCATCAAGCTTCTTCAATGTCATTATTTTGAATTCCTTTTCAGGCATTTTACAGATTTATTTTTCATTGCAATCTGTTGCAGGAGAATTTTTGTGTTCCTTTGGAGGTGTCATGTTTCCTTGATTTTTAATTTTGCCTGTCTTTACATTGATATCTGCACATCTGGCATAATAGTGGCTTCTACCAATTTTATGGATTTTTTTTTTAGGGAAATACTTCTTTTCTATAGATGTAGCTATAGTGTTGACTGGATGGGGTACTTCAGCTTAGATTCTAGACGGATGCTGTAGTGTGCTCTCTGTATAATTTCTTTGGCTCTAATTACTGGCATTGCTGTTTTTGAGTTCTTTGGTGGCTTAGGCTATGATATTCAGTGGAGGCTATGGTGAAGCCTTGCTGAGGATAGGGACACCAGGAGGGTCTGGCCTTTGGGTCCATTGGAGGCAGTGGTGGGCCAAATGGTCCAGTCCTTGGGTCCCTGGGTAGCATATGCAAACACCAGTAATATCAGGTTTGAGCAGGTTGGTCCATGGTCCTTCAGGTGCCTTGAACTGGTGCTATCAGTGGCAAGATTATGCTGTATGGCTGAGTGGTTCCTTGAGACCATTGGGCAAGTGTTATTCATGTACAAGTGAATAAATGTTTATTGATATTTCAGTCAAGTTGGGCTGGCAGGTGCATCTGTAGGTGAGTTCAATCAATCTCATGTAACTGGATTATGTAAGAAAAACATCCTGGATAAATCCTGGCAAGGTCCCCTCTTCAATTGTCAGGGATATGGACAGGAGCTTTTTCCTTCCCAGAAAATATCCCCAAGTCATCTTGAAGCCATGGTAGCACTTCCTCAGGTCGCTTCTGAGGAAACATTTAACACATTTTAAATCTCGTTCGATGATGGAAAACAAATAAATCTCATCATATGTCTTGCTTTTACATGACTTAATTTTATTACAAGACCTGTTTTGATTACAAAAAATACAAACTACCATCTGGGTGCAGTGGCTCATGCCTATAATTCCAGCACTTTGGGAGGCCGAGGTGGGTGGATCACCTGAGGTCAGGAATTCAAGACCAGCCTGGCCAACATGGTGAAACCCCATTCATACTAAAAATACAAAAATTAGCTGAGTGTGGTGGGGTGTGCCTGTAATCACAGCTACTTGGGAGGCTGAGGCAGGAGAATAGCTTGAACCCAGGAGGCGGAGGTTGTAGTGAACCAAGATCGCACCACTGCACTCCAGCCTGGTGACAGAGTGAGACTCTGTCTCAAAAAAAAAATACTGCTTAAAAATGCTAAGAATCATCTGATCCTTTAGTGAGTTGTAATCTTTTTGCTGGTGGAGGGTCTTGCCTTGATGCTGATGGCTGCTGATTCATCAGGGTGGCGGTTGCTGAAGGTAGGGGTGACAGTGGCATCATTTCTGCAGCGACTTCCTCTACTGAAATTTGAATCTCTCAAAGCCACCCATGAGGATGAGAATCAATTTCTTCCAAACTTCTGTTAATGTTCATATTTTGACCTCCTCCCATGAATTACAAAGGCTCGTTTTGGTGAATTCTTTTCAGAAAAGTTTCAATGTACTTTTCCCTGATCCATCAGAGAAATGACTACCAACGGCAGCTATAGCCTTACAAAATGTATTTCTTAAGTATGACTTAAAATTGAAATTACCCCTTGATCTATAGGCTACAGAATGGATACTGTGTTAGCAGGCATGAAACATTGATGTCCTTGTCCATCTCCACCAGAGCTCTGGGGCGACCAGGTACGCTGTCAAAGAGCAGTAGTGTAAGGAATCCTTTTTTTCTGAGCACTAGGTCTCAACAGTGGGCTTTAAATAATACACTCTGTTGTAAAGAGATGTGCTGTCATCCAGGCTTTGTTGTTTCATTTACAGAGCACAGGCAGTATGGATTCAGCATCATTCTTAAGGGCTTAGGATTTTCAGAATAGTACATGAACACTGGCTTCAGCTGAAAGTCTCAGCTGTATTAGCCCATAATATGAGTCAGCCTATCCTTTGAAGATCTGAAGCCAGGCATTTACTTCTCCTCTCTAGCTATCAAAATTCTGAATGGCATGTTCTTCTGATAGAAGACTATTTTGTCTACATTGAAAATCTTTTGTTCAGTGTAGCCACTTTTATCAGTTATCTTAGCTAGATCTTCTGAAGAACTTGCTGCAGTTTCTACACTAGCACTTGCTGCTCCCCCTTGCACCATTATATTATGAGACGACTTCTTTCCTTAAACCTCAGGTATCAACTTCTGCTGGCCTCCAATTTTCCTTCTGCAGCTTTCTCACCTCTCTCTGTCTTCACAAAATTGAGAGAGTTGGGCCTTGCTCTGGATTAGGCTTTAGTTTACGGGAATGTTGTGGTTGGTTTAATCTTCTATGCAGAGCATTAAAACTTTATCCATGTCAGCAATCTCGCTGTTTTGCTTTCCTATCATTTGTGTGTTCACCGGAGTAGCACTTTTAATGTCCTTCAGGACCGTTTCCTTTGCATTCACATTGTGGCTGTTTGGCACAAGAGGCCTAGCTTTCAGCCCATTTTGGGTTTTGACATGACTTCCAATTTAAAATGAGAGATATGTGAGTCTTCCTTTCACTTAAACATTGTGAGGTTATTAATTGGCCTAATTTAAATATTGTTATGTCTCAGGGAATAGGGAAGCCCAAGGAGAGGGAAAGGAATAGGAGAATGGCCAGTACCAGAGCAGTAAGAACACATGCAACATTTATGGATTAAATTCACTAGTATTATAGCAGTGTGCTTCATGACACCACAAGACAATGATAATAGCAATGTCAAGGATCACTGATTAAGCTAGACATGGTGGCCCATGCCTGTAATCCTGGTACTTTAGGATGCTGAGGTGGGAGGATTGCTTGAGGCCACAAGTTGGAGACCAGTCTGGGTAACATAGGGAGACCCCATCTCTACAAGAAGTACATATATACATATATAATTTATTAAAAAGAAAATTAAAAAATAAACCCTAAGTTCTCTGATCACAGGTCACCATAATAGATATAATAGCGATGAAAAAGTTTGAAATATTACAAAAATTACCAAAATGTGACACAGAGACACAAAGTGAGCACATCATGTTTGAAAAAATGGGGCTGACAGACCTACTTGAAGCAGGGTTGGCACAATCCCTCAATTTGTAAAAAGCACAATATCTGTGAAACACAAGAAAGCAAAGTGCAATGTAAAAAGGGATGCCTGTATATAAAATATACATATGTATTATACATATAAATATAAATGTGCATATATGTATATATTAATATAATGTCTTCAAATAGAAACACACATAGAAGAAAGCTATATATTGATTCATTAACATGGAACTCACAGCCAACAACACTATAACTCATTCCTACAATATGTAAATAATGGGGATGAACCGCATTTTAAGTAAAAACACATTATCACATAAATATAGAAGTATAAGTCCCAATAATTCACCTGAAAGTCTTTGTTTCTGTTGGGGAGAGACTTAGAAAAAAAGATGAAGAAGAAGACATTTCATTTTAAAATTGTATTTTGTTGTGATTTTAATTTTAAATGGGAACTTGTTTTTGTTTGGACCCCAAAAGAGAATATTGAATGTTTGTACTTGAAAACAATATTATAAGTACAATGGAAATTTCTATAATAAACTTTGTAAGAGGAGAATTTCTTTCCTTTAGCAGCCCATGAAATAAATTTTAAATAGCATAGAAGCTATAAATTCTCTCTATAGATACAAATTTTATATTTTTAACACGTCCACCCTCAGAGGTGTCCATCATTCACTGAAAATCCAGGAAATTTGAGGTCTGTGGCAATAAAATTGACAGTATCTTGGATGCTAATTTGCCATGTTGACTTCTAATTAACCCCAGTCCTAAAAATGCCTCCTGAGTCCTATTTTATTTACTGTCCTTCATGTACGAACATGTCTGCCTTTAGATCCAAGCAACCTTGATGTTATCACACAAATTATAGGCTATGACCACATAGCATTCTTACCTGTTCTGCAGGGTTGTCTTTAATTGTCTCTAGAGTTGTATACACATTACAGAACCACAACATTCCAGAAACTTTTGGATAAAT